CCCCCTCCCCCTTAAGCCAATTCACTCTCGCCACCGCAAAAGTATAAGTTATTGCCAAAAGACCGAGGCGAGGCGCGCGATGGTGTGGTCCCACCCAACACGACCCGCCGAGCCGTCGTGATCGACGGGGCGCTCGCGTGCCCCCCCCCTCCCCCGCCACACCTCACTCCAACACCACGCGACGCGGTCGTGCACAGACCCACAAGCACAAACGAGGATAGGCACACCCGGGCGGCCTCAGCCACCACTCCTCCATGATCCGAGTTCGTTCACACCTAGCCGGGCGGAGGCGGCCCGGGATAGGCGAGATTCGGCGCCCCCCCCCCTCTTTCTGCCCCTCTCCAGGAGCCACCATTACCGCCTGCCCCTCCCCGCCCTGCCCCTCCCCGAACCAGCCCTGAATTGAAGCAGCGGAGGAGGCGAGTGGGGGGCATGGGGGGGATCTCAAGGCTGCCGTGGTGGACACGCTACTCGCGCATGGCAGCCATCAACTGCGCAGCCGCGGCCGCCCGGCTCAGAGCGGCGGGGTCCGAGGTGGGGCACCCGGCGACGCGAGCGTCCTCGACCACGGCCAGGACGGCGTTGACGAGCTGCGGGGGAGAACGACCGAAGCGTACTAACTTAGCAGCTCATAGTTTTCATCGCGGGACTTGACAGGGTAGCGCTTCGTCTGACTTGGCTGGCTCATTGGTCGAAAGCTGGGAGTGGCGGCGTTGCGATGCCCCGGCCCCTGTCAGCCCTCTCCTCTTCCTCCCCGCACCTGACCCCGATCTGACACAGCCCTCCTGCTCTTCCGCGAACACTGGAAAAAGAAAGAAAGAGTAAAAGTAAATTGAAAATCCACGCCGCGTCGCAGCCGCAGCGCAGCTCCCCCGTCAGACGCCTGTCAACCTACCCGCCTGCGTGCCCAGCTGCAGGCCCTGCCGGGCCCGGTACTGGCGCCGGCGGCCGGCAGCGGACCGTGGCGCGGCCGCGGACTGCAGCCGAGCAAGCCCAACAGCGGTGAAAAATGATTCCAGATTCCCACGGCCCGGCCC